AGCTGTCTAGCATCTGAGCAATAGAATTTCAATATCCCTTTTCAGAAGAGCACGCGCTGTCTACCTGCTGCAGCGCGAATTACCGGAGTCTGCCATTGTTTCGCTACGCACTCTAGGCATAGATGTATTAGACACGAGTGCTGCGTCATCCTTCGGCGAGGACTCGTATCCAATCATATGTTTCGTGCCACAAAAAATGGCGACCGCCAGTGTTGCTCGATGGGGTTTTGAAAAGGGTCCCCTATCGGGGATATCACGCAACTCTTCCCGAACCTAAAGTTCGACACCGAACCTTCCCACAGGTTTTGGCAAAATTCGACGAAGTTAGACTTCTGAACGACGTTGCCCGATTTCTTTACAAGGCGAGCTGGTGTTTCATGAGCTTACATGGTAAAGGCCCGTTCACACTCTTGCGACCGAGTAAGACTGAGAGCGACCAGACCGGTTTTCAAGCTTTTTGCAACTTCTTAGGACCAGATGCGAGGCATCGGAGCTGGTCCTAAGAGATCGCAAGAGGCTTAAAAGCCGGTCTGGTCTCTCTCGGTCTTACTCGGTCGCAAGAGTGTGAACGGGCCTTGAGGCTGTGGAAGCTTAAACTTAAAACAATAAAAAGGCAAAAAAAAAAAGAAAAAAAAGGGCACAGACAATTTCCTCTTTTTGTTTTTCTCTTCTCTGGCCTTGAAACTTTTTGGGGTCTTTTAGTGCTTTCGTAAACACGTGGATGAAGTCTGCGTCATAATTTATTTATTTACTTATTTCAATTGACCTTCAAGATCCCCTCAGGAAGGGTATTACAGAAGGGTTTAACATTCGTGTTTGTAAAACTAGTAAACAATTTAAAGAAAAAAATGGCCAAGAATGGGCAACGATCAAACACCTATCTATTTAACCCCTAGGTGAATGTATGTAATAAGAAAACAATATTATGTCATTAAGAGCATGCTCCCGGGATATACAGAAAAAACAAGTCAGATTACAGAGAAAAAAGAATAAGATCGCTTTTTCTTTACAAAAACCGAGTTGTGTTACCGTCCGCTTGATTTGATCAAACATTAGAAAGTTACTGCCTGCTATAAAACTAAATGGCGCCGGTTTACTCATGGCCCATTTTATCGCATCCCTCTACATTCCGAGAGGTGCGTTCATCACGCACGTGGAGCGTTATCGGCTCTTCGTACCTGCAGGAAAAAAGAAATGACTACGAGCCAGATTACGGGCCGCCATTAAATCCCGGATCAAGCGCCTCGGAAACTCCCGGTAAGAAATTATACATACCAGATATCTCGAGTCTTTCGCCTGCTGCGTGAGACTTTTGGAAATTAGGTTTGACTAATGACACGGAACATTTCCAAACAATCGCCCGTCCTAACTAACAAATCAATGTTTCGCAACGCACCGGTCAAACTCAGTACTGGCCATCGGCCAAAAAAGAAAAACAGGTTCGGTGACTTTTGTCCTTGAACGAACTTGGTAACAGCTGGGAATACAGCTATATTATAGTCGTAGACATACCAAGACGTTCTGGTTGTCCTTCGCGTCCCTTACTGCGGTCTGCAACACGCCATTTTCCTCCATTGTAGTAGGCGTTACGGAAATGAAAAAAAGCAAAGGAAAACGTTAGTCGCTACTTGCAAATAAAAGGAACGCGTTACCGACATACGTTACTTCAGAAGAAAAGGAACGCGTTATGGTTACGGATCAAAAGTAACGCGCCTTACTTCTGCGTTACTTCTTATCTATTCGTTAGAGCGTTTTACTGTTTTCACCAGGACAAAGGGCGTGTGCGTCGGTGTTTTTTCTAAAGTAGGACTGTTTGCGTGAGGAAAAAAGAGGTATACAATTTTGGCGTCATGTGGTAGGAGTGCAATAATTTACATATATAACTTGTCACCTAGAAACACGAAAAAAAAATTTGAAGTGCTTTTCTTTCAAGTTTTGGGAAGATCTTTTATTAATGGTAACGGGCAATGATGTCACTACAGTAACTGATGACGTACTGCAAGCACGTTATCTGTTGATGTTTTAAAAATATGTAACGGGTACGTTACTGTGTTACGGAAAAAATTTTACACTTTACAGTTAACGCCATTAGTGGGAACTCGTTACCGCCGACACTGTTTTCTTCTTTACGTTTTTTAAAGAGCGTTTGAGCCGCACATAGCAGAGCGCTGCTAAAAAGGGAAAGTCGAACTAGGAAGTGAAGCGTCGTCTGCCAGCCCTTTAAAGTCCCGTGGCAAGCGTAGAACAGAGTCAGCGCTGATTGGCGGGTTGGCGGACGCGAGCACTCGAGATTGCCGTGATCGACGAGAGAGAAAGAGAGACAGTTAAACGACCCTTCCTGTTCGGATATGATCAAAATAATGGCGGGCGGCAGTGTTGCTTCGTGGACTTGTGAAAAGTGGTTATTCACCGCAACCAGGTTTGGTGGCTCAAAACCATTGTCCTTCGTTGTCGGTTGACAACTTAATCTAAAAGGGACGAACATTAAAAAAAAAAAAAAAAAGTTAATAGAAAAGTTTTTTTTTGCAAGTTGGCGAGCAGTGTTTGTTGTCTGTCTCTTTAGTGCGTCCCGACGCTGCTGAATGGTATCCGCTGTTTTGCATAAGTCACTGATGACTGCGTGCTTCACGTTTTCTTTGTAGGCAACCATCACCCGTTGGATGCTGAAAAGAAAAAAAAAAAAAAGGACGTATATGCGACAGCCCTGTTCGTTATAGCCGAGTCCGGCCCAAGCTTCAAAGACAATCAATTAAAACAAGAAGAAAGAAACTTAGATATTTAATGTCTTGTATCAATTTTGATTCCGGCACACACAGCCGGAGAGAAAACAGTTGCAAATTGTAACGTAAACGAAAAAAAGAAAAAGAAAAGATGGTTATGTAAGGAGAACTTGAGAGAGGGAAGACAAGTGTTTGATACACCTCGAAAATCACAGAGATCTTAATTGTTCCGACATTTAATGCAAAAATTAAGCAAAAAACAAAATATCTTTCTAAGATAGCGTTCCAAACCCACGCGGATCTATAAAAAGCTTCAAAACAATCCTACTTACAAGATAAAAGCGCCATTCAAAACTTTTAATATTAAAGCTTTTTTTTTTTTCAGTTTCCTTTAATATTTTTTTTTTTGTATAAACATTAGTTAGATTAAAAATGTCAAGCACGGTAACGGCAAAATGTCAGAGTATCTTTCGGATGTACGGCCTTCAGCACGAGCTGGTTGCCTTCCGGCGTGCTTTGACTGCGCGTGCACGATGGAGGGTCCAGGCTCACAAGACGCCAAAACGTTACGATAGGAAGCTTGCGCTAGGGACGGGAAAACCAGAAGGACCTCCCTGCCGTTCTCACATCTACATTTTGTAACAGTGCCCTAGAGTGGGCTCACCGCCCTATCTACCCTGTGTATTGCGCTGAAGCGGCCGATGTCGAAAACCACGGAGGCGCTGCAGTAGATTCCTCCTGAAACTTCTCTCGCCCGTTGCCCGCGATTGATATGAGCGATAAGAGCCGCCTAGCCGACCTGGTCTGGCCAATGCGCGCTGGAAAGTTTCAGGAGGAAACGCTTACAGCGCCACCGCCGCGTCGACATCAAACGCATCAGGCCGAGCCGTCCGGTGAGCCCACTACAACTCTCTAGGCCACTGTAGTAACAGCCTATCCGAGAGGCTTCAAAACGACGCGTCCACACACTGCAGTAAAGCCCTGTGTATTTTGTTTACGCGCAGCAGATTAATATCCTACTCTCAATACGTGTTCATTGCACAATGGAGCATCACCGGATTTATGTGAAAGAAACACAAAAAAATGCTTTTGTGAAAAAAGAAATTACAGTAAAGCAAACTCCATACCTATGTCTGACAAGAATTTCGCTATACTGCTAATGGCTCAGCGGCAACGCCAGTAACGTATACGTCTCCAAGCATCGAGCAACAAAATTTACATGTGAACGTACGGTATCACGGATGGTATCCTTTTTTTTTTTTCCATTCCCTGCACGCGAAATCAACTTTCAGCGGAATGACAAAACAGCGCAAACAAAACGACGGACCAGTAGAAGAGTATACACACAGACAAGGGAGGGGGGGGGGGGGGACAAGGGACAAGGTGTATACCCTTTTACTGGTCCGTCGTTTTGTTTGCGCTGTTTTTTCATTCGGATGCATCACCAACTCGCCAAGATTTCTACGCTTCTACAACTTTTAGCGGTTTCAACCACTGTGACTTTAACAAAGACGCACGGACACCTCAAAAGACGGTGCGCCTACGAAACGCGCCAGCCGCCTTCTGCCGGGCGTTGATTGCGCGTAAAGTGTACCAAATACACCAAGCTCGCCCGACCGCAAGAATCTTTATCCTTGGAGAAATAGCCTTTACACACGAGCTGCATCAGTCGGCGTCCTCGTGCCGCAAAAAAAATAAAAAAAATAAAAAAAAAGGTCAAGGAAAACAAGTTTACCGGGCATCGCGTCTTGCTCTTCTCGTTTGATCGGTATTCAAGATCGACACCCCGTACTCCGTTCCTGGGTACGCCGGAAGCTATAGGTGCTCGTTTAAGCAATCATGCGCCTTTATGTCGCCAGGTGATCACGATTCTCTTACCCATACCTACACGTATAGCTCCCATCGTATTGTCAGCTTGGGGATAAACGGATTACAGCAATGGACGCGCCTCCCTCGACATCTCTCGGCAACACGCTTTCACTTGCCTTTTCGTCTCAACCAGCCTGTTTCACCTGTGGCCGAACGCTTATATACTACCCACCAGGCAACATGTAAAGCTCGACTTCGTTGCAAAATAAATATTTCCTTCTCAAACCCCTACCCACATCCTCCACGGTTTGACATTTGCCTCCTCGATCGCTGGAAGGAGGAAACGCGACTGGCAAACTTCATCGCTTTTCGTTCTCTTTCCTTTGTGTGAGTTTTTTGAGGAGGAGCCGTAGTGCGTGCCGAAGGAATCTTTCACCCGACAGTCGACAGACAGCCTTGCCGACTCGCAAGATGCTGCTCCGAGACAACGGTGTCCTCCGCACCGTCTTCATGGCCGTAGCCTCCGTGTTCGGCTACGCCATCTTAATCTTCCTGCAGTACGGTCTCCTGGCACTCCTGGCGTTCCGCAGGGCCGCCAAGAAGATGAAGCACAAGCTGACGTTTCCGCACCTCAACAGTGGTACGGGTTACTCGGGACTGTTGACGCTCAGGGAGTGCGTGCGGCACGTGAAACAAGTGCCCAAGGACGCCGGGATGGCCGTTCTCGAGGAGACGGTGGACCTCCACGCCGTCGCCAGGTTCATCCTATGGTGCATGGCGGTGGGCATCAAGACTCTCGCGGTGTACGACATCAACGGTAAGTGTCCATCATTCGTGTTTTATCGGCTGAATAGAGCCTTTTCAGAAGTCAGCGCCATCTAGTAGATGGGGCGCCAAGTTTCCAAGTCCGCCATTGTTTGGGTATATACACCCCGAGCGTGTGTTGGACGCGGAGGGGGGGGGGGGGGGGGGGGATGGGGGGGAGGGGGGGGGGGGGGGGGGGGGGGGTCGCGTTACTGTTCGGCGCGAGCTCGGTTCGACTTGCCTTGAAATCTACCCACTGTTTTTTTGTTTTTTCTGTTTTTTTTTGTGTTTTTTTTTCAATTAGCCAATAAAAGCTTGGCGTTCTGGCATCATCGTAACCCGTGTGCAAGAAGCAGACGAACTTGCTTTCCGCATTCGCGATTGGTCAAAACGCTTTATTTGCATTCGTTTTTTGTTTTGTTTTTCGTCAATGGAAATCGGCGCTATGTCATTGTGTACATTGTGACGATGTTGGTTTAAGGATACGACGACTCCGAGCTTTCGCTGTTGTTTTTACACACATACCATGTAACTTGTGTAACAGTTTGCAACTGATGATGATGAGTAGTCAATGTTATACAACTCATGACGTCACGGCGAGGTAAATTTTGGTCCTGACGTCACGAACGGAAATCATAAAAGTGCGCGTGCTAAAGGTAGGGCATCTGAAGGACACGCCAAAACTGTTTTTCTTTTTGTGTGTGTGGGACTGTACAGTTGCTGTTGTAGTTGTTTTTTAATGAGCAGTTACGTGAAAGTTTCGCGCTAAGCTACGATGCGAACGTTGAAATACCGACTTCTTTCGACGAAATAATGCGAAACAACTCAGTCATGTATCTAAAGCCGGGCATCAAAACATTTTCGGTAGGTACGAAACACAGAATAACATTGTCCGAGTACTTTTTGCATGTGACTTCGAGATCTTAGACTTTATAGCGGTGTAATTTCGATAGCTGCAAGAGCGGACAATATCATCGAAGTCTGCAAAGAAGCTTGTTTTGTTTGGCTCTATTTTTTATTATATATCATTTAGATAGTTGACTTTCACTAACGTATGTACGCGCGTAATCGCCGATTACATTTGAATTATTAAACTTCCTACGGGTTAGCGGCGATGATAAAGGCTGCCGAACGGGCAACTGCAGGAAGCGTGTTGGAAAAGGTCGAGCAGTTCAAGACGGTCATGAAGGACGCTCTTCAAGATGCCCGCTGTCCCAAGGATGCCGTGCAGTTCGTCCAAAACAGTAAGAATTTTGAACGTAAAAACTATACTGCATGTCCATGCGTCCGTCTCTGAACAATACGAACTCTTCTCCACTCGCCAGAGCTGCTCTTTGACGAAACAATTTATTTCAGACGCCGTCTCAAATATGCAGTATTACTCAGTTACAGGGTGCGTCAAGTGAACCGTTGGCCTTTCGAAGCGACCGCATTAATCGGTTCTTTATTTATTCACTTATTTATTTCAGGTTACCACGCAACGCCAGAGTCATTATTGCAACAAAAAAAAAAGGGGGGGGGTTAGTAAAGTTACATGAAAGCTAAGAGTGTAGTTTCATATACAACGCACAGATAAGCTAAAACGCAAGCTCACAGGTGAATACTTGCTAAACATCAGCAAAACCGTGTCACAGAAAAAAAAAGAACAAGCCTCATTTCTCGCAGCAACCACCTTGTTTAACAAAAGACGAACACACGCAAGACATCATTATCATTGGTCATGACAACCTGCCCAACTCTCTGTTGTAAAAGATGGAATCTGATAAGATGGGAACAGTGTCGTCAGGCAGTCCGTTCCGCTTTTTTATGGTGTTAGGGAAACAAAATATTTAAAAATGTTGGTCCAGGGAGGCCTATTCTCTCATTTTCTTTGAGGAGTCCAATCTGCGAGAGACGAAGTTATGTGGTTGAATGAAATTCGGTTAACTAATCCCGGTGCGATCATGGTATTTTGCATGGAGAAATTTCAGCCGCGGACGTCGCCTTCTCGTGCACGAGGGTTCCCAGTCTAATTGAATTGCACTTTCTCTGTAGTTATAATTTCTCGTAACGAATCGGGCTGGTCTACTCTGCGCTTTCTCTAGTTTGTTGATCCGATAGCGCTCGTTTGGGTCCCACAGAACACTGGCGCACTCAAAGATTTTTCTTACGTTAGAATAAAACAATGTTTTAATGCGTTAGCATTAGAGCGCTCGTTTTAAGGATGACCGTATCCAAGCGGGTCGACGTACTCTGACAGGCAGAATACAAAAAAGCGGTGAAAGAAATGACAGGAAGTTCTACTGGTGGATTCTTGGGAAATCCGTTAGCATGATCCTCACTCTAACAAAAGCCCGTGCGTCTACTTTCCCGCACAACACTCGGAGAGCCAATCACCGCAACCTACGGAGACAGCTCAGCGAATCACGAAGCCGAAACATGTGTTTAGATAAAAAAAAAAACGCAGTCTAAGTTGTAACATTAAGCAATGCAAACGTGACGTTTTGCGTCACGCTTCCATTGCTTCACGTTACTGCGGTGGCGCAGCTGTCGACACTGCGCATGCTCAGATGTTTCGCGGGGCTAGGTGGCGCAAGCTACCATCCGTTATAAAGGGTACAGCCGTTAGCATTCATCCATCCATCCAACTCTGGCATCAGGCGAATCTGGTTTCTGCACACGCGCATTGCCCCACATCCTCTGTGGGCAAACGCGAGTGTGTTGGTCGATACAATATCAATCGCCGCCTTCTGCGCGCCGCCATCTTTGTCCAGTGGGCTGTAGACCGTCTTCAGAGCATGCGCAGTTGGTCTCTGCTGTCGAACATCGGACGCCGCGCACGCGTCCACATACCAGTGACGCGGCATATTTTGTTGCCTAGATGATAAATGCCGGTATAGTGGATGGCACTGTACGCAAATTGCGAGAAAAATAACCACAGACTCACTTTTTTTTCTTTTCTAGGTGATGACGCTAAGAACATAAACGGCACAGCCGAGGTCAAACTGTACGTCATCGGTCCCGAAGCAGGCAGGGCTGGTCTAGCCACCGCGCTCGGAACACTCTGCGAGGACTACAAGCGCGGACTGCTCAAGGACGAAGACGTCACCCAGGACACCGTCGACAAGTACATCAAGAGTAAGCGACTCTGCGTGGGCTTTGAACGCGCGACACGTCTATGGTCTCCGACAGCTCAAGAAACGCAGGCCTTGCAGTTCTTGAGCTGTCGGAGCTGTCACTGTGATCACACTTCTTACTTCATGCTACGTTCTTCGGCATGTTTATCGATCTCGTTGGTTGCGCAGTGATATTAAGTTTCGCAGGGCTCCTCCCCACGTACTAGCTGTTTTTTTTCAGCTGTTAATGACTAAAAAAGTGAAAGCCGTTTACAAATCCCTGTAACGCCGAATTGGAGCGCAGCTCTTGAGGAGGGGGAGGGAAGGGTACTGAGGGGAGGGTAGACCCCTCCTCCTTCTCCTCCTCCTCCCCTCATTCTTTAATATGCTCCGGGGGGGGGGGGTCACGTGACCTCGGGGGGGGGGGGGTGTCACGTGACTTCGGGGAGGGGGTCACGTGACACCCTCCCTGAGGAAAGGGGTCACGTGACCTCAGAGGGGAGAGGGGTCACGTGACCTGGGGGGTCACGTGGGGGTCACCTTGGGGTCACGTGACCTTGAGATGACCTTCGGAGGGGTCACGTGACCTCGGGGGTCACGTGACCTCAGAGGCGTCACGTGACTTGGGGGGCACGTGACCTTGGGGGTCACGTGACCTTCAAAGGGTCACGTGACCCTGAGATGACCTTGGGTGGGGTCGCGTGACCTCGAGGGGTCACGTGACCTTGGGGATCACGTGATCCCAAGATGACCCCACGTGACCTTGAGATGACCTTGGGAGGGGTCCCGTGACCTTGGGGGTCACGTGACCTTGGGATGACCTTGGTTACGCCGACGGCGACGCCGACGCCGCTCAAGCCGGGAACGGGCCCCTAAGAGCTGCGCTCTAAAAAGGGCTGACGGACCTCTACTGCCTCGTAGATCTAAAAAAAATATATATATATATATATATTTTTTTTTTATATATTTATTTATTTATATATATATATATATATATATACAACACGGGCACTTCACGTCATCGTACGTGGTCTCCGAGGAGGATATGAACGAATATGTGCAGATGAATGAACCGTACTTAATTTAATGAATCAAAGAATCGAAGTTTCCAGGAACCCGCCGAAAGCCAAAAATTGGCGGAGCCAGTTTTTGATTCTTTGATTCTTTGATTCATTAAATTAAGTACGGTTCATTCATCTGCACATATTCGTTCATATATATATATATATATATATATATATATAAGAAGAAATTTAAAATGTTTTTTCTACCTTCAGAAACATCCCTGACTCTCAGCATCCAGTCTCTGAAAACTGAAGCGCTATATTAGCGGCGAGGTGTTTTAGTGGCGCTCTCCTATGGTTACCTTTCGGGACGTCATTACCTTGCGAACCACAAGTTCGATGGTTCGATGATGTTTGTAAGGAGCATGGTGGAAGCTTGAAATCATTGTGCTCTTAAAATGGAAGTTCTTCCATTTCTCTAATTTCCGTAGATGAGAAATCCTTTGCTGACGTCATAGTCAGCATTTGGCCAATCGTGCAAGGCCGACCACAGCGATGCTTTCGATCGCGCACATCGCCAACAGGTGCTCTCTTTGTGGAGCGCGACAACCGTCGCGTTGTGGGTGATCGCGTGACAGTTGCGTCTGATGATGAATTAGTGTTGTTTCGGTTTATGCAGACCTCTAAGTCTGACGGTAAAGGCTCGTTCACACTCTTGCAACCGAGCACGACCGAGAGAGACGAGACTTGTTAAAACCTCTTGAAATCTTAGGACGAGACCCCACTGGCACGCTGGCGCCATCTATGCGGTGACCCTGGAACTGCATTTCACAAGAGCGAAGATTTTGCGGGATTTCCGAGGCCAAATGTGCGTAATACCTATAAGAAAGGCTCGTTTATAGCGTTCACAAAAGTTTTTCGAGCCAAGAAAAAAAAAGGATAATGCGGGAGAGAAATAGAAAATATGCCGGACCGCCAAGTTTACACTGCTACCCAATAGATGGCGCCAGTGGGTCCTCTCGTTGTAAGAGGTTTTAAGGAACCCAGTTTTAAGAGGTCGCAAGAGTGTGAACGGGCCCTTACCCAGGTGAACCGCAGACTTGCTCTTCCGTGTCTTGACGTTTCGCTTGCTGGTCTCCTGGTGCCAATATCGAAATAGGCTCACTGTCGCTGTGTCGATCGGGTCCGTCAGAAAACGAATACTTACCTGTCGCTAGATCTGTTCTTGTCAAACCCGTTCGCAGCCATCCAGGCATCCCGTATACCTTGAAACTTCAGTGACCACGTACCGAAAGGAACTTGAAAGGTTGTGATGTAAGGTCCTTTAGACGCTAGAAGTGTTCAGCGTTCATGCAAAATTATTCGACGCTTACATAATAGACCCTTTTCGAAATTCACTGCAATCTGGTGGCTTAAATAGCGGTTTACCTTCTACTGTACTAATGACAGTAATCGGCCTGCACTCTGTAGTGTTCTGCCGGACACCGTCCCTTTCGCTAGTCGACGGCAGTCAAGAAAGTGTGTTTTTATCTTTCTGGATCTCTCGGGTTTCGATGTTGACAAATATACAACCGGTAAGGACGAAGCATCGGCCCACATTGAAGCCGTGATAAAATAATATGCATCAAGAGGCTGTGAAGCAAATTAAGTACCGCCTACACACTGACTGATCCCGAGTTAACAATGAACGCTTAAGCAGTTCTTGTATTCAGTTCCTGCGTCGCATCACACTAACGTCTCGAACGTATATGGCCTCGCATCATCTGCTTCGGAGCATCTTCAACTTCTTACGTCATCAGTAAACAGAAAACCGCCAATGAGTACGAAACATATATGCCATTCCTCAAATAATGATAGTGATCAAAGTGGCCAGACTGAATTTCGTAAGTGGTATATATGATATAATCACGACGTAAAGCGAACTCAACCTTGTCATAACGCCTCATATAATAACATCCAGTGCACGTCTGAATTATTCGTGACATCAATTGTCGACATTTCGTATCAAACTATAAACAAAACTTCACGTCTTAAAAGGGAAAGCCATAGACGCCACATCGACACTTAACAAAACTTCTGAAATATAAGTTACGTCCATACATGTTCCATATTTGCTGCATGCTCCTCCAGGTTTCGGCCTGGCGGATGTTACAAAACAGAATCATATAGTCCAATTGTCAATGGGACGCTAAGTACTTCATATTTTATTTGTTTCTGACCATGCAGATCAAGCGAACGGCATGCCGGATCCAGAAATTATCTTCCGTTTCGGCAATTCCAACGCCCTCCTTGGATACCCCCCGTGGCACGTTAATCACAGCGAGATTCTGTAAGTAGGACGCAGTTCATTTTATGCGCCAGCAACGGCGCTGCTTATGCCACGGCACGTGACCAAACGCTTTGCGTCTTGCAAACTGGTTCCCGCACACGCGCAGTGCGTATACGCTAGGGTTGTGTTTAGGGGTGTCGCGAACTTTTGTCGAACCAGATTTTTAGGTCGAACTTTCGGGGTTCGACTGAGTCGAACCGGTTCGACGAACCTTCGAACTTTTCCCCGGATTCGACCGGTTCGACTTTGTGGACATTGTGGCCAGACCTTGATACAAGCATGTCTAGGTTTGGAGAATTTGTTTTTATGCAAAGGGTTATTTTATTTTATGAACAGTTGAAAATAAAAGAAACCAATTCTAATCACTGAAGAAGTTAATAACTTAATCTTCTTGTACTGCATTAACTGAAATAACCAATCAGCGCTGCCCTTAATTCTCCCTTAGCCATCACCATCCAATTCAAAGCCAACTGGCAAGCCTGTCGCGCATGCGCACACGAGTCGAACCTCAATACAAGGTTCGTCAAATTTTCCACTAAAGGTTCGAAAAAGTCGAACAAGTCGAACTCGAACCTCGGCCGGTTCGCGACACCCCTAGTTGTGTTCTATATGTTACCCGAGTAGGTACGAGTTACTTTACCGGGTTTAATCACGTGACAACACTGATAGAGAAAGAAAACGTTTTACTCTATCGGGTCTTATCGCGTGACAACACTGATGGAGCAAGTAAATGTTTTAGTGAGGAAATTCGTCCCACTTTGCGCAAATCCAATGGTCTTGTGTGGAAGAGGTTTTTGAGTAGTTGGAACGGCAGGATGTGCCACAGCCTTTGAGTTTTCCCTTTTGAATTGGGAGTGGTAGCTGCCGCCATCTATCGCCGTGGGCATCATGAGAGCCAGTCGAGACAGCCGTCTCTGCTTTCTCGGCAAACCCGGTATCTCGGTGCGCCAGCGACTTCCCTCTCCCTCGGCGTCCAGTGACTGCGCGATAGTCCTGGACAGCCCGATGCGGATGCGTTCTGTTGGACACGAGGTGACCGCTAGGGGAAGTATTTGGCGCTGTAGGCGCACTGTCTAATGCAAATCAGCGGAGTGGTATGTATTCTCCCTAGCAAAGTACGTATTTCGAGCGAGGCAGGGCACGGGTAGGTTTCAGGATGCGAAGGCTGCAAACCTCTACTTTTAACTAGGTTTGGGTGACTTTTGGAACACAGCCCTGGGTTGTGGTGAGCAAACGTGGGTTTCGCTCTGAACATACGTTCCTTATTTTCGAATCAGTGAGCCAATACCCGAGTGTTGGATCTCCTTCCATTTTTATATAGCTGTTCTAAAACAAAACGAAGTATTTAATCTAAGGTATACAGGTACACTGTACAATAATTACCTGTGTGAATAAATGAAAGGTCAAGTAAACAAATAGTGCTCCCGTCACACCTTTACCTGAACGGTCGTCATTCCTTTGAAATGGAATTCTAACAATCTACTTACTCGAGGCAGTTCTGAAACCGCTCATAAATTTTTGTTGTTCGTCCTCTAATTCTGTGGCCAGAAATCCTTTAAAAAAAATGTGCACATTGAGAAATATTTAGGTGAATTTTGTGCAACATGGCTCGCTGCATTCCATTACAGTTGAGGACGTGGAGAACATTTCGAAATAAAGGATATTTCTTCATAACAGATTTGTACGGCACTCATTACAAGGAAGCAAATTACTTGTAATCGATTACTTTTTAAAGTTATCTTCTAACAACTTGATTACATTTATTATGAAGCAGTAATCTGATTACTTTAAGAAATATTAATATTACTTGTAACCGTAACTATATTTCCCTCCTGTTTTAATGGCAACCTTTGTTTGTACAAGTTTTCCGCCACGAAATCATCGAACCAAATCTAACAGGAGTATCTTACCAAAATTGGCGAATTAAGAAGATAAGTAGTTCACAGTTCAATGATTCTAATATAGTAATGAACAGTATGAAACACCCGTTTTCAAACCGGACGTAAACACTGTGTCCTTCTGAAAATCTGAAGTAACCGGAGAAGTAACTGTTACTTTTTCAAGTAACGTCCAATTACTTTTTGTCTCGAGTAATCAAGTACTAATCTAATTGAATAGTTTTTAAGCAAGAATGAATGTAACTAAAGTCGATTTTTTTTTCTTTGTTGTTGTTGTCATTTGAAAGATGAGAGCACATCGGTTCATCACCTTTCGTTCCAAAATATGCCAAAGATGTTGCCTTTATGAGGGAGTATGTTTACAACTACAAACCATAATGCTGTTGCGTTAATTCCCTCCGATTCAATTTTACTTCCAGCATAGTGTTGGGGGCCTCCCCCAGACGAAAAATGCTGGCCTAGACAGCTTGAGTGTGTTTGGGCGCCCGTACAAGCAGCAGCTTGCTTAACATTCTTCACCAACCGTCCACTAAAATCACCTTCCTGTGATCACTAACAGAATGAGAACGGCAAGGTGCCTCATTAGGTCACATGGCGTGGCGTCAGGTCACGTCATGTGACCCTATGGCGGCACAATCACGTGACGGTACATAAGACCTATAAATACTATTACTTAGAGCGACTTTGGGATGACGTCAAGCAACACTGTGATGCCCTTGTGTCACGTGACGTTTCGTGTACCGTCATAGCATTATCATATGACGCCAGACTCGCGTGACGTCACGATGTCAGTGACTTCGCGTAAGACGTATAAATACTACGCATCTAGAGCCCCTTTTCGGATGACGTCACGGGATGCCGTGACGTCATCGAGGCTACGGCTGCGGAGAGGAAATTCTCAAGAGCTGGCTCTATAAATGCCTGGCGTTTATGACAGGTTTTTACAAAGAAACCGATTGGCGCGATGATTCCGGCGTCTGTCTGTCTCTCAACAGGGATCTGGGATACCACAGGGACGTGCTGCCTTCGGAGTTCGTCGAAGTCCTCGAAATATACAGCAAGATTGAAAAGCGATATGGCAAGTGAACAGCTGGCACACCGGAAGGCCTGTCGGATCGAACTGGGACGTCTACACAAGAACATAATCATCGGGGATCATGTTGCGATAGATTAGCCTATGTGAAAATAAAGCTATCTCCTAGCATCCACGGAATAAATTGAGACAGCAGCGGCAATCCCCAAACTTAAAAAAAAAAAACAAAAAAAAAAACACTTTGTTTTACATAGACCCAAAAAAAAGCTTCGAGTATCGACACTTGCCAGGTGAAGAGCGAGCACAACTGGCCATGTGACCCCCTGGATTTTAGGTTTGATACCAGGCGGCACAGTAGATATCGCTTTGCTCCGTCCCGGACTCTGAAGGACGCAAAAGCGTTTTTTTGGATTTCGGATAAAACTTCAGACACCAGGCAATCATGACTCTAAGCACTAAGATGGCGGGGGGTGGTTACTCTGAAGCACGGCATCTTTAGTAGCTCCAAAGTGCCCCACGTGCGCAAACACCTACCTTTAGCGGGTTTCGAATTGCGCGTGTTTGGCCACACAAGCAGAAAAGCATGGCGGTGGCCAGATGTGCTGCTCTGCAGTCGCGCACACATTTCTCAGAAACCTCGAGAGGACCAATAACAATGTTATTTTATACGATGTTGCCTTTTTTTTTTTTTCACGCGCAGTTGTTTAATTAAAGTGCGCCTTTGAAGCATATATAATGTGCAATATCCTAGAAAAAAGAATAAAAGAAGCAAAGAAATACAACATCCCGTACGTTCCATCGCGTGGCAAGAACACGCCCCATACTGTTTCAACGTGCCGTTCCATTAGAGAACTCCCGGGGTACGTCGACCCTTTGCTAATCAGGTAATACCGCGATTAGTTTTGTTGCCATTATTCGATCGCATAGCTCACTTCACTACTCCTCGTGACACCGGGCGACGACCCGTGGTGATCGACGACACCAGAGACAAGAATCATCAACCGGTCAGTATCCGCCACCTCTCTGTGTGTCACGCGAGGAATTGACTCAGATGGAGGGAGAGAACGCGTAAAAGTGGTGCGATTTTCTATTGTTTTGGGAGACGGACGGCCACCGCTTCTCTCGCTCTCTATGTCTTCCCCTCCCCTGGCCTCCACGAATATTGACATGAAAGTGAGAACCGATGAACGATTGATAACCCGTAACCTCCACTTTTTCTCCGACTAGTCGAGTTTTCGTTCATGGAGTGTCCGCCGTCTTCATGGCCATCTCTTAATGAGATGTTCAAAATTCATGGCATAAAGGTGAACGGAAACCTAGAGCTTCAATTGTACTTTGCTTGCCAAACACACACACACACACACACACACACGCACGCACACACGCACGCACGCACGCACGCACGCACGCACGCACGCACGCACGCACGCACGCACGCACGCGCACGCACGCACACACACACACACACACACACACACACACACACACACACACACACACACACACACACACACACAGGCATTGACTCTAATCTACAGACTCTAATCTACAGACTCTAATCTACAAAAGACTCTAATCTACAAAAGCACATCAGGGTAAGCTGGGACACCTGCCTTCTCCATTGGCTACACATTGTAGTGTTAGAATCAAGTTTTTCGTTTCTTGTGAATAACAGGCGAAACACCCGAGTCAAAGGGGTGCTTTAGTAGATCACTTCCTTAGCTCCGCATCCCGTGGCAGAGGTCGACGCTGCTACTGAGCATGCGCACCGCCACATTTGTCTGCACTATTCGAGGGATGATTTCCGAAAGCCGTAAGCTAGCGGGATGGCGGGTGTGGTTACAGCCCTCGGTGGCTTGTCAGCTTACAGATGAACGGACTGCACCTACACTCTTTCTCTTAAATACAATATTTTATTTTTACAAGGACTACCATAATATGGACGTATGAGGAATAAAAAGAAGTGTTGCGGAACATTTGTGAAAAAATTGTGGTAGCTTAGCTCGGCTATGCCAGGATATACGTAGCGTGAGCTTATGGGCACAAAATGAGAGGCGCTATCAAGCGGCTCCGGTGCAGCGTCAGACTTGGCTACTGCGCAACGGAGGCGCACAGCTGGGCACGCGACGGCGCCAGTGCGTCTGCCGCGGCTATGACGTCACTTCTCTGGAATGCGCAGACCGGTCGAGGCGGGCGCGGCGGCGGCGGAGCGCGCGCGGCGGCGGCTTCGGCGCGCCAGCTGTGCGCCGTGTGACGTCACAGCTCCTCGCGCATGCGCAGCACGGAGCACGGCCGGTACTCTTGTTCTGACTGACTGAACACAAGTCCCACCCGAACGCTGACGATAGCACTCGAGTGCAATCTGGGACTCGGGTTGGCCCTCATTTGGTGACGCAGGAAAGACACCACTACGGCTTTCTATCCGGGTGTTCGGACTTTCAGGCCCTGTGGCAGCTTTCGAGGATGTCCTTACTTGATGTGTGGCTGTTCGGGGCTGGCACGAGGATTTGAAGTGACCCACTACAATTAAAATACCTACTGCAAACAAAAAAAAAAACACGTTTTTGGAGAAATTGTTTTTGGCGGTAAATACACTTTTCTTTTTCCATTTTTTTTTTTTTTTTTATTCTTGTAGCATGCTACAGCAACGCATTGAGACAGACATACCAGACTACCTGAGGCTAGAATCATTAAACAAGCTGGAGGTACAGAGTGGAACGTTCGTTCTACAATTTTCTCGCAAGCGCCATCATTTTTTTTTTTTTTTTTTTTTTTTTTACGTGTTAGCACACGAGATGTTACATGCGCTGACCTGGTTCAGAGCTAATGCGCTCCCCCATGATGGCCAGCTTGCCGCCATCAGAACTATATCTCCGCGAAAGTTTGCTCGGTTACTGCGTTCTAGTCGTCAACTCACACGAGGTTCTACGCTACATTGAGCGAAGCTGGCGTTCTCAGCTACATTTTTCCAGGCAACATAGATTTTTTTTCTTTTCTTCTTTCCCCTTTCTCTTTCGAGTGCATTCAGACACGTGGATCCTGTGCTGTGACCACCGATGGATTTAACCGACGCCATGACGTCTCGTATGGAATGTCCATTAAAAGTTTCCTCACAGACCTTGATTTTATAACACTTCGCGCGTGCGCTGAATCGGGAATCGAAAGAATCAAGGCTCATGATCAACTCGTGGGCGCCGGGGAGCGGAGAGGAAGAGGAATTTTATCAAGACGCACACAACGAACCGAGGCTCTGTTAACACATTTATTATCCTGCGCTGTTTATACACCTGCTAATTCTATCGCAGCAATTAAGTTCAAATAATTTTCACTCCCAGTGATATATTTGTTTTATGCCAAATATGTTATTAAATGTTTCGAAGTTGAAAACTTAAAAATCGACTGTATCAGAACTCGATGCATCAAAGGAAAATAAAAAAAAAAAATAGTAAAACTTTTTTCGCGCTAATGTTTCCTGTAAACGCTTACAACTTGGTCATACCCAAATTTTTAACATTACGTTCTTTTTCGACCGTTGTTTTCACCAAAAAGAAATCCACAGCAAACCCTTTCGCATCGACAGAGCAATTTGAAAATAATTACAATATTTTATATTTAAACATTTGACCAGCAATTTTTCTTACAATATTTTGCCACCAAGGGAAAAGGCACAATGGCGCATGCGCGTCGGAACTTCTGCAAGAACGACGGTCGCTTCCCGCTATGCTTCGATAAAAAAATGGCGTACCATTTCGATCCACACGATTACTAGCGACCTCCGTGCTTCCCCGTTGTTCGGCGGAACCATGAGTTGCGGAGTGAATTTTACGACAGTGCCAAATGCGGGACATTTCGAAGATTTGTCCCGCATTTGTCACACACACACACACACGCACACGCACACGCACACACACACACATATTAACGGCATTAGCGCACACGTATGAGGAAGAGAGAAGGGACAGAAAAGAGCGCTACTCACAACTGTGTTTACAAAGATGAAGAAAAGAAAGAACATCGTCCAGCTCCCCATAAACATGAAAAAGGTAGAAGAGGAAGCGGAAATATAAAACAGGAATGTAAAGCACAAAGTCGGGTGTACCCTCGCGCGCACAGGCTTGATACACTGGTTCTTTGATTAAACCCTAAAACCTTTGTTGGCTGTGCCTTCGTTGTCGTGGTGCAGGGTGCCTTTGCATCACTCTTCGCTCGCGCCTGGTCACCCGTGTCAGAGGGGAAGACGAACACATCATTCATGGTCGGCTGCCGCAGGGTCGTCGTGTCTGATGTCTCGCGGCACCCGTGACTCATGCGAGTTCTGCATTGTCCGTGTTAAAAAGGCTGTCTCCTTGCGTGTTAAGGCCACCGATGCAACACTAATGCATTTAGTAGCTGCGGATATGATGTAGAAGGCTTCTACCACCTCGCGGGTCATTTTATCCTTGTGCCTCTCTAGGGTTATTGTTTCCCCGAACAGCGGATTACAATTCCACTCTTTGCAATGTGTTGCAAGATGGCCTCCCACTGTGGCTCTCAAAGAATAATCATGCTCGCGAAGTCGGTCATTAAGACACCTGCCTGTTTCACCTACGTAGATCTTGCCGCACGAGAGTGGAATCTGGTATACCACGCCTGAAGTGCACGGAACAAAAGGTTTAGCATGTTTTTTTGTGCACCTGTGTCTTGTGGCACCTTCGGCTTGCGAGTTGACTATGGAGCAAATTTTGCTCATTTTTTGCGGGGCTGAAAATACCACTCGGACCCCATACCGACTTGCCACGTTCTTTAAATTGTGTGACGTCTTGTGAAGGTACGGGATTACCACCGGTCTTGTCTTTCCTACATCTTGTTTGTTGGCTTGGAGGCCTTTTGCCCTTTTCAACAGGGTGTCCGCTACATTAGCCAGTAGTGGTAACGGATAGCTGGCTTTTCTGAGTCTTTCAACCTGCATCGAGAAGCTGGCTTCCATTGTGTGGCAACATGATTTCTTGAGCGCGGATCCCAAACATGCCAGAGCAATGCCCCTCTTGACGATCTTAGAGTGAGCCGAACTGAA